AAAAAAAAAAAAAAAAAAAAAAAAACCTGAACAAAAAATTAGTCAAGCCTGAATTTGCTGGATGCACAAAACTTGTATTCCAGAATTTCTCTACGCATTTCAACCACATTAAAGTAAAACTTGCAAAAAGAAATTGAGCAATCTTTGTTTGATTATAGCCATGATGAATTACATAAAATCCCTATAATGCAGAGATCAGAAAAAACAAATCATCCGTATAAAAATACTAAACTCCTGACTCCTATACCATAATAAAGAGCCAATTAGATGTCAACCCAAAGTTAATGTAATAACGCATTGCAACGTTAAGTTAACACAAGCTAACATCCACGTCATTTTGTTCCAACAGAAATCGCTCCTTCATAGTTCATTCACACGACTCATCTCTAAAGTTTCATTCAAGCCAGTCCCACATAAAGCAATTAATTTGGAGACTTTTGATAGGTGAACTACTTCCTATTCAATTGCTTTAACAGAAGCCCTCTAACTAAATCCAATCGGCCAACAGTGGAGAGACCCTTGCTACAGATTCGAAGAGCACATACTGATTGAAAAGAAAGAAATCAATAAAGTACAACAGATTCATCGAAGAGCTGCAACAGAAGAGTAAGAGCTACGCTTACAATTGTGGACATCACCTTCCTCAACTATTCCAACACGAACATACCAGAACATTACTGTTAACTAAGGAGTCAGAATGTCAGATCATGCATGACCACATTTTTTATCACTCGTCTGAGCAAGTGCAAAGCAGACGATTAAGAATCAAATTAAGACGGAGTTCTCAACACATTACAAGTAGTGTTTAAAAAAAGAAACCTAGCAACAGAATCCTTACAAAAAAAAAGGGTCAACAGTCAAACTTAACTCGTAACTAAAATACCAAGACTTGGTCTGAATCAGAGCCAGTATATATATGGTCCAAGACAAATCACGATCAAGGTAGTAAAAGCATAAAGCAAAAGCATGCATCTGCGGGTAGCTGAGTGTGTGCATATACGTGTATGTCTGCACCAGTGGATGTTAATTATCACATTTCTTGATCATTTAACTTTTAGAATAGATGGATTCTACATTCCACAACCATGTCCAACCTCAAGCAGACCACTTCGTTCAAGCATACTCCTTGCAGGACAAACATCTGAATGCGCAAATTCAATCATGTAGATCATAACGGTTTGCACTGCAAGAGTATGCAAAGCTCAAACCGAGGACTAAATTCCCCACCAAAGGAAGCTACTTATCGTCTAATCCCCAAATAATTCCTCCTAACCAGTTTAAAAGTGCCCAACTGTAAAGCCAAAAAGAGGAGAAATTTAAAGAATCAAAAACATCAATTGCTCACCCTTTTAATTAAAGAAAACAATTTGCTAAGCCCTATTTAAAAAATCAGAACTTTGACTAAATTACCTAAGCAGCTCACCCCTAATTCAATATGAGAATCCTAACGTAAAACAGATTCACCAAACTTAGGCCCTGTTTGCAAAGTCATGAAGCCAGCTACCACCAAGTTACACAAAAAAACAAATAAATCTTCTAAGCTTCCAAGAATACCAAAACATATCGAGAATCAATTGAGCAAATCATAAGACAGAAATTGGCAACAGGAAATATAAGAGAATCCATGAACCAAATCCCAATTCCCATGTTAAGAATGAATCAAAATTTTTCATTGTTTGAGCCTTACCATTGGAGGCGGATCGTTTACCACGCTTGATCCGCTCGAGCTGAACCTGCGTGTCCATGAACATCCGCATCCGCTGAACCTCCAAGTCCTTTGCGAACTGCATCCTCTGCTTCTCCAACTCCACCATCTGCCTCAGCTTCTCCCCCTCCACCTTCTCGTACACCGCCCCGAACCTCGCGATCGCCCTCGCCAATCTTCTCATCCCTTCCGCATCCCCAACCGCAACCCCTCCTTCATCTTCGCTCTCCCTCTCCTCCTCCTCCTCCTCATCCACTTCCTCCTCGTTTTCCAAATCGTCCTCATCCTCCTCCGCCTCCGCCGCCGCAGCCGCCGCAGCCATCGCCGAGTAATTCCTCCTGAAGAAACCCTCGTCCGCCGCCACCGGCGGCGGAGCGGACCGCTTCTGCGGAATCGCAACGAGCGCCGTGGAGGAAGCCTTCCGGTAGGGAAGGAGAGGGACGGCGACGGGCGGAGAGGGCGAGAGCGAGGGAGGAGAAGGCTTCTTCTGATTGGAGCCGATGAGGACGTCAAAGCGGTCGAAGAAGGTCCAGGAGGAAGTGAAAGCGCCGTTGGAAGACGAAACCCTAGCCTTCTCGACCTTGTACTTCTTCTTAATGGTGTCGATTCGGTTCTTGCACTGGACATCTGTGCGGTGGGTCTTCTTGGTGTGGCCATGGAGGGCGTTGACGGCGTCGGCGACGTCCTGCCAGTCCTTCTGTCGGAGATTACCGCGGTTGAGCTCCACGTAGCGGCGGCCCCAGGCGTCGATCAGAGTGGCGGTGGCCTCCTCGCTCCAGCAGTCCTCGCGGACGGGCATGGGCCGGGAGGAGGAGGAGTTCTGGTTCTGGAAGAGAGGAGTGGGAGCGGCAGCGGCAGAGGAAGAGGGCGTCGTGGTGGTCGTGGTCGTCGTCGGTGCCGGCGGTGGCGGAGTGAGGGAGTCGGTGATGTCGCCCATCGTCGTCGTTTAGCGGAGAAGAGAGCGTCAAATGGAAATTTCGAAACTTGGTAAGGAGGGTAATTAGGGGGAAAAGGGAGGGGTCGCGTCGGTGGGAGAAGAGCGCCGGCCGCATGAGCCGCGAGTGTAGGGGGCAGGTCGCCGGGCCGAGCGCGTGGAGCCTACTCACAGCTTTAGTGGCTCGGCTCATCTTTAGTAAACCGGCTCGGCTCGCTCTTTTTCTTTATTTCTTTTTTTTCCCCCCTTTCGCTGAATTGCGTACCTTGATAAATCAAAGTGAAGTCATTCAGCAATATAACAAAAAAACCATAGTCCATATGTATGTATTATCCTCTTTCACCAAAAACCCAAAAACAAAAAACAAAAAACAAAAACAAAAATAAAACAGAGGCTTAAGAGTCTGGTTCACGTGTTCAAGTCAATAATTCTAATTTAGTAGTAAAATTTTAAGAGAGTGAAATTTTTAAATTTATATATTTTATGAGGAAAAAACACTAATAAAATTAAAATAATAAGTTACATACGTAGTCTTCGCTTGATCTAGTGACACAAAGAGCTTAGGTAGGGTGGAGTTTGAAGACATTATTAGTTCAATCCCGTGTTATACCATAAAAAAACAAAAATAAAAACTTATTAAGGAGAATGAAGTAAATAGCATATTTGTAATAAAGTAATTAATAGTATATTAAAAATTTACTAGATAAAAAAAAAATTTGTCACATAAATGATAAATCCAGTACCTGGTAAAAGTAGGCTATATTATAGGGTAACAAACAAGCCAATTTGAACTTGTAAAATCGCGTATGCTTAGATGATATTTGGTATATGAATTTTGTTACAGTGCAAACTCATAATTTTGGTTCTGTTACAGTGTTTTTCTCTTAAAACAATTTGAATTTTAAAAATCATAATTAAGTATTCAAGATTAGAGACCACAAAAGAGCATCAATTGCATTCACACATAGATCTTCACTTTGTTAGGAACTCGATATCTCCATAATTTCTTCCACCATGCCCAAGCAATGTCCTTACCTAAACCACTCCTTTTAATTTTCTGATCATCAACTCCACTTTACCAAATTTTTCGGCTAAAGATTGAAGATAATAACATAATATGGATAATAACCTAAAAACACTCAATAGTAGAAGTGGAGTTAAACGATGATGGTAATTAGAATTTTCATACCTTGGTAATTCATGTTAGTAGCTCATGTTCGTGTTAATCTATTTATTAATCGTGTCAGAAAATATCAACTCAAACACAATTTGTTTATTAAACGTGTCAAAAATATCAACCTAAACACGACTCATTTATTAGTCGTGTTAATCGTGCCAACTCATCTAACCCATTTAAATTAATATATTAAAAGAATAACTAATATAATAATGACTTATTTAACACAGTCAAGACGGATTTAATATGTTTATTGGTCAATTTATCTTTCCTTTAAGAAAAATAAATGAATTTTACCTACAAATATTAAAATTCACATTATTTGTATTTAATATGTTATATAAACTTTCATGTTATATCACATATCATTATATTACAGATGACACATATCGTTAATCGTGTTAATTCGTGTCACTTTGTGTTAGGAGGTCAATCCTAACCCAACCCATTTATTAATCATATTAATCGTGTCAATCTGATTATGACTCAAACCCATTTATAGTAAACTCAAACCCGCTAATTTCGTGCGGGTTTTGAGTCGTGTCGCTACCCGGATTGCCAACCCTATCCATACCCATAAAAAATAATTTATATTTTGTATATGGGTTTTGCTATGCAAATCCATAGTTTTTGTTTTACTATAGTGTTTTTCTCTTACAAAAAATTTAAATTTCAAAAGTCATAATTAAAAACTCTGATTTGAATCATAGTTTAAACTCATTTACCAAACAGACACTTACTCTTCCACAATCATAATTTCTTCCAAATTTTTTCCCCAACACTATTAAAAATGCATGTTATTTCACTACTATATAAAAGAGTAGAAATGCATATACCAAATGTTCTCTTTCTTCTTTTTCTTTTCTTCCTTAATATTTTATATTTTTCGTACTTACCTTTCTTTTTAACTTTTTATTTCATTTACCTCAATTAATTTTTTTCCAAAAGTTATCCTACTTAGATGTTTCTTCCGGTAGTGCTCTAATATACTGTGTATTATTATTCTCACAAATTTCTTTCAACGCACAGCTTCAGTGTTTTTCTTTTTTTTTTTTTTTTGGCTTTAATTTGGTGTTTTGTTTTAGCTTTTTATGTTCTCTTATTTCTTTTTCTTTTCTTCCCTAAAATTTTTTCTTCTTCGTAATTACCCTTTTTTAACTTTTTATTTCATTTACCCCAATTAATTTTTTTAAAAGGTTATCCTACTTAGATGTTTCTTTCCGGTAGTGCTTTAATATATTGTGTACTAAAAGTTATTCTCAAAAATTTCTTTCTAATTGTCTAGTTGCCCACTAAAACAAAATTTTAAAAATATACCCCTACCCTTTTTTGTTTTTTTGTCGCCTTCCGGACCACTACTCTCCTACACATATAAAAGAGCCATCATGGTTCTACTATTCCTTTTTTAGTTAACTAAAATGAGTCGTTTTGGCTCCTTTTTTTTTTTTTTTTTTTTTTTTTTTTTTTTTTTTTTTTATTGGTTTTTGTTTTTTTTTTTTTTAATCTTTTCTTTTTGTTTCATTTTTTCCCTTCTCAAATACTTGAAAAAAAAAAAAAAACCATTTGTTAGTAGATAACCTAGATTATGGACCATTATATGTTACCTTTTTTCACTTTTTATCATAATCTCAATGCTAAATTTATCTTATCTAAATAGTAAATGCTAAATATAAAAAAGAGTGGGTGAAAACTATATTTTTTCATTTTCTATAATCGTTTACGTACCATTTTGATGCTTTTTTTTCCTCTCTCTCTTTTCGGTCCCATATTTTTTCTTAACTTTTTATTTCTTTCTTTTATTTTCTACACGTGTTGAATCCTAATCTTAATCCTAAGTAAATTAAAAAGTATATATTTAATTGTTATTCATCATATGGTAGTTCTAAACAGTGAGTTTTAGGTGCTTTAGTTTATCTTTTATTTTTAAGTTTTAACTCCTTTATTTTTTTTTGTTATCTTATAATTTATGTTTGTCACAACCCGCTGCCAGCCACCAACTATGCTAGCCGGCGATGAATCGTGATGAAAAAACATGACGCACATACATACATATCATACTATATTTGCGGATCTCATATATATATATATATATATAACATGGTCATAAAAATGAGGAATATTTAAACTTTTAAAAGCTTACAAATTCTTAATTAAAACATGGAAGTTCTGAAATTTGAAAAGAAAAAGGTGCTTGGAAAGGGTTCTTTAATTAAAAACATAACTTTGTGAAAATCATATCGAAGCCATAAGGCCAACTTTCAAAAATTAATATCAAAGTTTGACTACTACAAGTCTTATCCCCATATGCACATTCACTTTGGTCGGCTTCCTCGATCACTGAGCTTCTATCTTAACTTTTTTTTTTTTTTTTTTTTTTTTTTTTTTTTTTAAAAAAAAAAAACCAACAAGGAATCCTAGTGAGCTAAGAAGCTTAGTAAGTGAGTAGACTAGCTACTCTAAATATGGATGCAAAGCAACACAATAATTCCTTAACATAAAAGAGACATGAATATAAATGTAGACATAAGCGATATTAATTTGAATACCTAATTCAAGTACTCATAATTTTTCTCAATATACATAGTCAAATAATTCATAATTTTTACCAACCGATAAGTAATCATAATATAGCATGCTTCGTACTAACTCCTAACATGTTTCATAGAGGAGTGTATTATACTCAAATATTTATAAACTCGTCATATTAAATATTCATGTTATCAGTTGACTATTACTTTGACTTTATAACTCATATTCAACGTATGAGATTCATAATCTTGACGTACCATAATCATAATTATAAGATATCATAAATCATAATCTTAACATACCATAATAATATTCATAAGTTTTAATATTAACATACCTTAACCATAATCATATCATATCATACATCATAATCTTAACATACCATTATCATAAGCATACCATATCATAAAGCACAATCAATTTCTTACCGTAACTGAAGCTTTCTCAAGTAGTCATGTACTCTTATAAGCACAATTATGCAGAGGATTTAAACAAGAACAACACATTGATGGTAGCTAAAATCTAAAATACATAAATACCCCCAATAATCTAGCGTACCCATATGTGCCTTCATATTAGGGGTTCACAACAACCAAGAAGACATTAGAAAACAAGACAATCATAATCATAATCAAATGTTCCCATTTAACATGATCATAGTTAAATCTAAGTAAGAGATATACATACTTTAAATCAACATAGTCTTATTATGCTATAGTCCTACCAAGTCGTATCATACTCTCATATTCATAACATAACCTCATATCATACACTATCATGAACAAATCATTCTATAATAACTCATAGCACAATATTATTATGTCATAACAATAAGCCTAACTTATCACATACTTAATGGACTAGTATCCTAACATGTAAGTACTAATGGGCCTGTTGGACTACCTTATGCCGGTTGATGCTCAATCGTGTGGCTATCCTGGACTCTAGGCCAATGAGTCTAAGGAATCACACACACGAACCTCACGTACCATTTAACAAATCAAACTCGGCTTCCAGGAGTGTACCACTAGTTATATATGGCTTGCCTATCACACCAGAATCACAATCTATTGGCATTCACATAAGCGGTAATGTGGGTATTCACGGGGTTTTATCCATTCTTGCTCGACCGAGACTCATGGAATTCAACACCGTGACTAAATCACAGATCCAACAACCACTAGAGTCGCCACATCTATAACTCGGGACTACAGAGCATAAAGTCCATCTAACGGACTTAATTAAATCATAACTATCATATTAGGTCCTCTAACGGACCGGCGGTACCCACTAATATGTGTAATTAATCATAACATATTA